ATCCCTGTAGGTCCACTTATACCTCACCGCGGTACCGGATGAGTCCACTTAATCCCTACCGGCGTCCCGGGTAGGTCCACTTATACCTCACCGGCGAACCGGATGAGTCCACTTGCATACTTAAATTATTTCTAAATCTCTTTAAACATTCGAAAGCAGCAATCATCATGTACTCAACATATCACTGAAATCATTAATATAAATCTCACTGACACCATTAATAACAGTCACTTTCAATAACATTTCAACCAATCAAATATTTTGGGCTCAAATTTAGAAAGGTAGCAGTTCGTAAAGACATTCTAGCATAATTGCCAATCTAATATGTATAGAAATTTTTTTATAGAAATTCAAGAATACGGAATTATCACAACTTATGGGATGTTAATTTGCAATTAAACATTTCACAACAATACTATAATCAAATACAAAAATGTCATTTTTTAGATAATAAGGCAGTCATTTGCACATGAAATTCACAATGTCTAAATATTTAAAAACAGTAGAGAGAAATTTCACAATTTTACTAAAAACAGAAATATCACATTTATTTCTAATAATTTGATAGTATCTAAAATTTTCTAACAATAGACAAGAAAAATAAATAAATTTATTTTTCTAAGAATTTACCGCATTTAAAATTTCTAACATAGATAAAATATCACAATTTTTATTAAAAAGATTATTTTTCAAGATAATGAGGTCGCGTGCGTATAAAATTTATCGCGCCTAAAATTCATGATAATAAGTAGAAATAATTATTTCATTTTATTTTTAAAAATAATGGATTATTTTTCGAGACAATGAGGTCACTTACACACAAAGCTTATAAAATAAAGATCTTGGGCGGAAATATCACTATTTATTAAAAACAGACTATTTTTCAAGAAGATGATGTCACTTACTTAAAATATTTTGAGAGGAAGCTTTCGATAAAAATTCGACTAGAGAGAGAGACCTCGCCTCTCGTATTTAAACTCTTACGACACCTTATAATAATGTTTTATTAAGTTACACCTCATACACGAGGTGTAACGTTTATATTACCTCTTAGACGCTTAAAGCCCACGTCCACCGAACGTGGCAAGGCAACAGCAAACAAACAAATTCAAACTAAAAGCTTTAAAAATGGTGATGGTCCCTAAAGACTATCATGCTCATATGGACCATCACTTATTAAAAGTTTCTTTTTTTTTTATTATTAAAAGTTTAAGATTGTTACAAAACCCATTAGCTCACAGCTACATATGAGCCCAACGGCCCAGATTAAATCTGAGCTGATCTGACGGTCACGACTTCATTTCATATTTCATTTTTATTTTTTTTCTAGAAATACAAATCACATGAAATTTTAGACATTTATTCTTCTCATCAAAGCTCACCTAATAAAAATATTAAAAAATAATATACAATAAATAAATTAACCAAAATACCCCTTTAAATTTTTGAGGGCATTTTGATCAATTTAGTTCTTGAAATTATTTTTTCGATATTTTTATTAGATTATTACAATTTTCAATAACACAGGTCTAAAATCTCAAGTGATTTGGATATGTAGAAAAAACATTAAAATTTAAATACGAAACAAGGTCATGACCGTTAGATCGTCCCAAATTGAATTTAGGATGTTGAGCTCATATGTAGTTGTGAGCTAGTAAACCTATGCCAATTTTTTCAATCTATATATATATATATATATAAAGCCTAGGCTCTAATTGGATTATTTAGAGCCTACCTTCAAATAGTATCGAGAAATGTGGTTTCAATATTGAAAATCTTTATGATAACCTTAAAACATACTTTCATCTTTAATTATAAAATTTAAAGCTCCAAAAATAGTGTAGATTGTCAGATCTATGAAAACTTAAAAATTGACAGTTCAAAGATACATTATACACTATTTCCAAAACTTGAAATCCATATTTTTCTTATGTCCATGCATCTTGATGTCAAGATGATCAATTTGAAGATATTTGTGCATCAAAACAACCTCTTGTAGTGAAAGTTTTGAGGTAAGCTCTAATTTGATTGTTTAAAGGTAGACTCTTGATAATCATACAGTACTCATTCCTTAGAGAGAGTTTGTCTCTCTGATATTGCGTGTAAATTAATACCTTTGAGTAGAAGATCAAGTGGACGAAGAACTTAATGCACTGGAAAAGTGCTCTGAGGAGATATATTGAGCTGGTGGACCATGAAAGCATTATCTCTTCCCTTTTGGGCTGTATGATTTGTGGGAAGCTCTGGAAATAGGGGAAATGGCTACTCAAACTTAGCGTTCCACAAATTATGAAGGTACCATACCAGGTTGACAACAACCATAGGCATAACCTAAGTACACCTGATAATGCATGCTTCACTTTTCCTGACACCAATCCTGCAACCTAATACAACAAACAATAAATTAATATCTCACTCCAAAGAGAGAGAGAGAGTAAAACTTTTCTAGATTGTACATGTGATGAGGAAAATACAACTATAGTTAAACTACTAATAAATATGGGATTGTACATTATTAAAAATAAAAAAATAAAATGTCTCAATCACTTATAGTTATCCATTGCGGTTAATTTTTTTTTAATAAAAATATCTTAGATTTTGAGCTTGGTCAATGGGGTATTCGCAGCCACCCAAATTCACATATGATGGATAAAGTTGATTATGACTTCTTTATATCGAAGTTAAAATTCGTATACTCTTCTCGACACATTTCAAAGGCTCTGTAATCTTGGTTCCCTTGTCTATAGGGCTAGTCCAGGCCCAGCCCAGCCTTGAATGGGCCAATGAGGGCCTGGCCCATGCCAAATTAAATAAAAAATTTAATAAAGAAAAATAAATAAAAAGAGGGCTAGAGCTGCTAAACTGGGCCGGCCTTGGCCCAAGTCTGGTCGGGCCGTGTCCTCAGACAGTGCTTGCACAGCCCTCGCCTAGCTTTTGGGCAACAGTTTTTGGCCCGAGCCCTAATCTTTGAGGGCCAGGCTGATTGGGCTCAACATGGCCACTAGCCCATTGCCAGCCCAAGTTGAAAGCCACAAGGATAGTAGAAAAGTTTGATAGCATACTACACGAGAGGAAAGTTGGTTGAAATTTTAGCACACTCGATCCAGGTTATGGGTTTGTGGTCGGCCTTTTATTTTTGTGTCTATCGGTTTTGTTACCATATTGTCATTTACAAGAGTATATAATGTGATAATTTAGTTTTTGTACAAAAAGATCATATCAGCCTCAACCATTAAAAGCATAAAGGATTCAATTATTGCTACCAGCTGCGTTCAAAGTTCAATAGAATTAGTTTTTTCATCTGAACAAAAGTAATTGGGACCTCCTAACACAATCAATATCATTACATTGATTGGGGTGGGTATACCGGTATTCGAACCTTTGACTCCGTAGAGGGGTTGGGGCTAGTCACGGTTTGGAGGGGACTCGTGGTATCGCCACCAATCCCATCCGCTAAACCTTTGTGCTTTGAAGAGAACTTGGTTACATCATTGAAAAATGTTATGCCGATTGATTCATGTGTAACCACATCTTTGTCTAGGATTCACGGCCCACAGTTTTTCAGGTTTTTCCTTGCAACTTTATATTGTGTATTTTCTTTAAACTTTGTTCTTATTCTTCAAAATTAATTTTCAAGATCTCTTTCCTAGAAAAGGCGGTAGATTCTAATTATTGATGCCCAAATTGGGGTGGTAATCTTTCCATATATCCCTGTTTTTACCACATTTATCGGAGAAGAATCTTCTACTTAAATTGACGAAAAAATTTGTTTTCTGAAATTAATTTTTTTACCTTCAATCATCTCTCTCTCTTAAATAACTAAAATTTGTTTTCTTAAATTTATTTCGATTAATATTTTATATTTAAAATTTTTTAATATTTTTATTTAATTATAATTATAAAAAGTGAACTAAAACCCAATTTTCATATTACTATCATTTTTAAATTAAAAAATAAAAATAAAAAATAGAAATCATTTTTGACCCTTAGATGTGGTTGGTTCAATCTGAACCATTATGCCTGCTGCCTTTAATGAAAATTTTGCGTGAGTTGACATGACCTACGCTTTTGAAATATTAATTTTCTCATGTTCCCTTCAACAAAAAGAGATAAAGCTAACCTACTCAATAAAGCCAACTTACACCTTTGAACTAAAACCCAATTTTCATATTATCATCATCTCAAAATTAAAAAAAAAAATGGAAATCATTTTTGATGATGTGGTTGGTTCAATTTGAACCATTATGCCTGCTGCCTTTAATGAAAATTTTGCTTGAGTTGACATGACCTACACTTTTGAAATATTAAATTTCGCATGTTCCCTTCAACAAAAAGATATAAAGCTAACCTACTCAATAAAATTTGAGTCTTCTTCTAAATTTAAGACCACCAAATGGGATATGTACTAATATTTTCCCCACTTATACAAGAATGCTACTCCTAGCATGACCTAAACCTTAGCGGTTATTTGTTCATAGACATAAGAGGAAAAAAATTCATAATTTCCACTTAATTTTGTAATACTAAGAGGCACAATATCCCCAAGGTTGTGTCCAAACTCGCCCTAAAGTTTGGAACTAGAACAAATATTTCGATACCAGCGTTTGGGATCTGAAACGAGGTGGTCACAGCGAAAAAATGATTAACCGAGTCGAGCAACGAACCCCAAGAAATTTTTTCCGAAATTGTGCAAAAACTTTTACTGTAAAAGCAAAGGTCTCAGTTATGGGAACAAGTCCCTGCTTGTCAAACAAGCTCTCCATAGAGCCCCTACACAATTTGTTAGTCAAATCTATGTCATTAAGAAAGGGGTTAGGGTCCTGGTGGTAGCATCCCCACACCTAATCATCACACTGTGGTTTCCATTCCTATCACTAACACCACCCCACTAATATATTCAAGAATCTAAGCTCCTAATCTACTTTTAAAAAAGGATTAAAAGGTGTGTCTTCTTCACTGAATTGCCGTCACTTGAAAACCTCGGGTATATTCTTGTGACTCTTAGACGTGAGTTTATTGAATGATTAATATCATTAATAATTATTTGGAAATTATACCTACTTTTTTTGTCAAGTATAATTATTTGGAAATTATACCTATTAATACATTTTTAAAATTGTTGATAGTTTTTGTCAAATCTTCCAATTGGATTTTTCACACATATTAGCTAAAAATATGGAGAAATCAAAGAAACGGCGGGCCGAAGATTTTTAAAATGTTAATAATTTACAGAACGACTCGAATGAAATTATAAATTCTAGGAGATCTTAAAATGATTTAGTTGGAATAATTTTAATAAATTCGTTTTTCCTTATGTGATGATTTGATTTTCCAAGTTTAATCAAGGCATTAGAGACATGGGAAGAAGATAGGTACCGTGATCTACAGCTAAGTCTTAACCATGGTCTGACTTTTCAATCAATTTCTTGACCGATACTGAAAGGGGGAACGATATTACACAGCCACCCCTCATTAAACATCTGACAATTTGGGAGTTGCAAGCAAACTATGGCAACCCAATTACAAGCTTAGGATGAACCTATTATGGGGAAAGCACATCATGTTACATGTAACATACAAACCAAGGCCAATAAAAGACACTTGATATGGGCCCAGTGGCCCGGGACGAATCATGTGCTCTAATAAGAAAAGACAGTATTAGGTACTAAGGGTGTGGTAATGGGTGCAGTGGACCAGGACCGCCCAGCCAGACTGGCCCTAAAGAACTGGGGCATGGGCGACGAGATGTGGTCCAAGCGCCAAGGACAAGCAATCATAGCTCAAGCCTAGGGCAGAGCGGCTTGAGCCAAGTCCGGCCTGGTTTGGCCCGGCCCAGCCCTACCCTCTGTTTTGTTTTTTATTTCTTTTTTTTTATTTGGCCAAGTTCGGCCCAAGCACCCAGCCCTAATAGGCTCTAGGATAGGATGTAGGCCAGGGCTGGCCCGAGCAGGTCCGGCCCGTTGCCACTCCTCGAGAGAGAATGATTCATTTCAATTGCCTATTCTTGGCAATGAACGTTTGCGACCATAAATTTTGCATGGATATAAATGGATGGATGAGATTACATGTAACATGCAACATATCTTCTAATTATTGTCAAGATTCGGGTTGGACCCCATCATTTATATCATGACGTCCCCCTAACCAAATCATTAATTATATCTTCTCCTCTATTTTGCGATGTTTGGGAACTCCTACTTTAGCGTGACTAGGGCTGAGTTACCCAGTTGAGTCACATGTGGATTCACCCGAATAGTAACCACCATAAAAAAGAAAAAAATTCAAAAAGTTGTGAAAAATAAAGTGGCTTGTACAAGGCCTAGGCTCTAAACAATGGAAGTAGTGTTCAGCTTCAAAAGTGAAAATCTTCAAAATTGAAGGTCCAAAAATGCATTACAAGCGGTATTTTCAAAACTTGAAATTTATTTTTTTTAATATCTATGCATCTCGAAGTCGAGATTCTCAATTTGAGGATTTTTGAGCATCCAAATAACTTCTAGTGAAATTTTTGTAGTGCGCCTTAATTTTATTTTTTAGGGTGTGGCTTGTATTAAGCCAAGGCCCTAAACCATCAAAGTAAGGCGTGCCTTCAAATAGCATCGAAAGATGTTTCACTACTGGAAATCTTTGTGATGGCCTGAAATTTTATTTTCATTTCTAATTATAAAATTTGAAGCTTAAAAAATAGTATAGATCGAGCATATCTATGAACACTTGAAAATTAACTGTCCAAAAATACATCACAAAATGCACTATTTCCAAGACTTAAAATCCATATTTTATCATATCCATACATTTTGAGTTTGAGATGATCAATTTGAGGATTTTTTGGCATTGAAACTTCCCCTTCTAGTGAATTTTTGAGGTGCGTCTTAATTTGACTGTTTAGGACGTCAGTCGAGGCTCTAAACAATCAAAGTAAAGTGCACCTTCAAATAGCATCGAGAAATGTGGTTTCAATACTGAAAATATTTATGATAACTTTAAAATATATTTTCATCCCTAATTATAAAATTTCAATCTTAAAAGATAGGGTAGATCGAGCAAATTTATGAAAATCTTAAAAATTGACGGTCCAAAAATGCATTACAAGATGCACTATTTCCAAAATTTGAAATCCATTTTTTTCTCATGTCCATGCATCTTGATGTCAAGATCATGAATTGAGGATATTTGGGCATCAAAACAACATC